ATGGAATGACACATACTGTAGTGATAAACTGCCTTTCATTTGTGAAATCAGAAAAGGTAGCAAATTTTAGCCAATGCTACTTCTTAATTTTCTTAGAAAAGAAAACTCAGTCTTCTGCAAATAATAAAGATATTTGAAATAAATTATTTGATCACAGGCTGGAAGAGGAATTTTAAAATCAAATTCTCTTACAGCCGGACCATATAATTTCCCCACAACGAATAATTTTACACAATGAAAAATTGAATCATTCAATTTTAAATAATATTTAAAATATTTTCGGGCTGTGTTGGTACTATGCTGGGGGGCTTGGACCAGCTCTAATGGGGCTGGGATATGTCCTTAAATGTATTCTTGTTGGCATTTTGTCTAGTCTTACACTGTATGCAGATTATCAATATGTATATTTTCTTTCCTCAGAATTACCACCAACACCTACACCAACACCGCGAGGTCACTGTGCCGACTCTAAACAATTGCGGTTCGGTGATGACTGTTATCTAATAAAGCTAGATGACCAAGTCTCCTGGCCTGAAGCTGCATTTGCTTGTAATGAGCTCGGCATGCAGCTGGCCAGCATTCACTCACCTTCTGAGAACAGCTTCTTGTTTAGGCAACTGCAGAACCCAATCACGACTACACGGAACCCCCATTTTTACACCAATTACTATTACGGTGTGAAAATAAATGTTTGGCTTGGCTTCCGGAGAGATCTTAAGGGCAAGTATTTACATGGGAACATTTAATTAATTACCAGACATTTGTTACAAACTACTGAGGATGATGACTAATTTAGTGGGCTGATACACTGGACCATATTATCTCTAAGAGCAGGCCTGCACAACATACGGGCCTGCACAACATACGGGCCTGCACAACATACGGGCCGCACCTGCTTTGCAGCATGCAAAATAACGAAATTTTCTTTATAATTATTTTTCTTTTTTTCTTAATAGCTTTTCCCCCATCCTATTTCTTTTGGCCCGCACAAGCTTTTCATAAACTATTATGGCCCATCTTATATTTTGCGTTGGGCAGGCCTGTCTTAGAGCAGTGTTCAGTAATCTACAGCTAACTTTAAGACTTGGTGTTCAGAGTGATTTTGAATGGTATGCAAACCCCAAACATTAATATTAGCTTTACAAATGCATCTTTTAATGAAGGAAGACTCAGAGCCGTGGCATGGGCCCTACAACCCCAGCAACTGCAGAAGGCCTCATCGTGTTAAGGGGCACAAATTTTTGATGTGTAACAAATTTAATTGGAAGTATTTTAAATTGCTTTGAATAGGTAGGTAAATAGGAAAAACTAAAAAGTGGCAGGGGGGCCTCCAGAAGTCATGGGACAGCTCTGGATTGTTGGCACACTGAATGATTTAGACATTATACTTTGGCACAAATTACCAAAAGGTTCCATATATTAAAATTTTTGTTATTCTTTATTTCATATATTCATACATTGTATTTTGTTGGAAAGAGCACTGATAAAATTGACAGGCCTCTTAATATTATTTTGATGCTAATAATATACACATAGAATCTTTAAACCAACTAGTTATTTGTTTTAATAAGCTGCACTGAGAAAGGGGCTATAAGAAAAAGCAGTAAAATCTATTTGATGTTTCATCACAAAAATTTTGTTAAATTTTAATTTTTTTAAATGTTTCTAAAAATAAAATTAAAGCTTGGTAAGTAAAGCTTACACCGTAGCCAATTGTCATGCATTTCTTTGACCCATGCACAAATATTTGTACGTTGAAAACACACAAAACAGGGCTGATTTTTAAAATTTACATGGCAATTATTCCACACGACGTTTATTGGATTGCTGATAATCTTCAAGGTGGCTTCACTTGGTCAGACAAGTCAGAGGCTGTTTACTTTAACTGGGCCAGCGGTGAGCCATCTATGAGATTTACTTCAGGACAGACTGTCACAGAAGAGGAGTGTGTAGAAATGTATATCGATTCAGGCAAGTGGAATGACATCTCCTGTCGCGGCAATAACCGGGGATATGTTTGTAAAGTCAGCCAAGGTAAGTGTACCTATAACCAGGGATATGTTTGTAAAGTCAGCCAAGGTAAGTGGACCTATAACCGGGGATATGTTTGTAAAGTCAGCCAAGGTAAGTGAACCTATAACTGGGGATATGTTTGTAAAGTCAGCCAAGGTAAGTGGACCTATAACCAGGAATATGTTTATAAAGGTACCAGAAAAATTGAAGTAAGCCTAACCAACAATACAGTGCAAAAACTCTAACAGCACAAAGCACTTTTTAAAATGATAAATGTCAGTGAGTCAAATAAGGCATGTTTCTATTGTCTGAAACTGTCTTGCAAGTCATGTGAAGATGATCAAGACTAGATTTGACTGTGAGTATGGAGTTGGCGCGCCAGTTCTATTTGTACCTGGAAAGCTTGCCCACATGTAGGACACACATATTTTGGGGTCCTAGAAAGATCTGCTTTATTCTTGTGTGCTTTCTTTGGTAGTGAGAGGTGAGTTTACTCTCTGAAGATTGTGTTCTAACACAGCTTGTGCAATCCACAGCAAGCGTAGCCCATGAATTCAGCTGGATGTCCATGGATTTATGGGACACTTTTAGACAATCCGTAAAGTAATTTCTGTGCCCACCAGCTGAGCATGTCCCTCTGAAAACAGCCTATACAAGTACCATATAATTATGCATTGCACATATCTCAACACAATAGCTTAGGTATATATTTTCAGGGATAATTGATATAATCATAAAAAGATGATGTAATTTCCTCTTGTTAAAAGGAAGGTCATATTGATTTTTTCTTTTTTTTCCCACCAGTTTTTCCATCTACATTGCCCCCCACGACTCCACTACCAATGGTCACTGTAATTGGTCCAGATACTTCATCCCCAGACTTCCTCAAATCAACAACCAATGTGATTGTACCTTTACGCCATCTACCACCTATTCAGAATCAGGAGGGTAAGGAGGTTTAGCTCTTAAAACATCTTCAATATATTTTACTCAACAATTATCTTCAGTGCCGTGATGGACACACAGACTTCCAGAGAGAGTTAGAATAAAAAACAAATTAATTCAGCTTTTTCGGAAAATAACACCATAGGGAATACTGCCCTACTACTAATGATCCCCAATTTACCTGCATTTCTTTTCTTATATTTAATTTTAATGTATCTCCAAAATATTTTGGTCTGTTAAGATTTTATTTTTCACAGTAATAATACATACATTCTTTTACTTCCTGTAATCTTGGTTCTGGAAAATCCAACTTCTGGCAATAACAATCATTGAAATAAAAGCTATACATTTTTTTATAATTCATTTATTTATTTGACAAAGATTTTAAATGATTTTATAATCCCATACTCTTCCATTCTTATTTGTACACCATAACTTATTCAATGATTCTGTAAAAAAAAATTCTCTAATATTTTTTTATTTTATGTCATTTATTATTATCATTTCTTTTTATTATTGTTGGTTTTATATAGCGTGGTACCCCAGCCTAAGGGTACATACAGAATGATGAACTTAAAATATTAATTAACATACATTAATGAAATAATTGCCCAATATTACCTAAATGATAGCTTGTCATAAAATTTTGTAAAATGTATTCATTTTATTTATTATTTATGTTCCAGATGATGAAAATAGCTTAACAGGAGGACAGATTGCTGGCATAGTTATTGGAATAATAGGAGCAGCTATTATAGTGGCTGTAGTAGTTATAGTCATTAGAAAGAAACCTCTACCAACCTGGCCAAGGGTGAAATTGTTACATCAAGACTCAGGCTTTGACAATGCTTTCTATATGAAAGGTGAAGAAGACCCAGCAGTGGACAGCAAGGGCATTAATCAGGACATTAGAGAGGGAGATAATGCAAGTGAAGAAAGTGTTGTAAAACTAGGATTTTCAGATGCTTAGAAATAGACCAGCATTCACACTGCTTTAGAAATAAAATCTTCAAGTCGACTAGACATTTTGTTTTGACCTCATTGAGAGCTCCCTCCCTGAATTGAAAGCTTCCCTCAACTCTGGATCACATGGCACAAGTATGTCATTTAATATTATTTGTGCTGTTTAATTGTGTACATATTTAAAAATATATTATATTTCTATGTTATTAAAAAATTCAACTCTACTCATTATCAGTTAAACCTTCTTGCTTGCTGTGTAATTTTCTTATAATATGAATTCAAGTCTTTTATTGGTTTCCTGTCAAATCCGTAAACACTGAAATATTTTTATGAGATTTATTAATCCTTATGTAAACATTTTGTTTTGCATCTAAACTGTGTATTTTGTATACCTGTGTATAAAGATAAGAGAATGTCCAGCGGATTTGATTTTTGATCCATGACCTACTTTTCCTGAATAAATGGAACAGAACTTCCTGTGTGCTTACAAGACAAGTATAACTAATGAAATGAGAAATTTGATGAATATGTTTTGCTATTCATCAAATTCTACTTTTTTAGTGTTTGCAATTAAATTATGTTCATTTTAATGAATAAATTATTTCAAAAATTAAACAACCCCTCAAAACAAAGTTTTCTGTATAAATCCTTTATAAAATGTCATATCGAGCAATGAGGGGTGGGGCTGAAAATTGTCCCAAGTTTCAGCCAATAGGTTGATAGGAAGTGGGTCAATTAGCTATCTGAAGATTTTTTTCAACCACCCATGAACAAAAGCAAAGTTAATATAAAGGATTTAAAAAGGAATTGTGCAATTAGTTTACTTGTAAATGTTAAAATAATTTGGTTAGTATTGAGAAAGTAACACCAGTTTTGATTAAAGGTCTAGAAAAAAATACTTTATTATAAAATAGAGTATCAAATTGGGCACTGGGATATTTTAACAAAAACTCTTAAATGAAATTTCCCTTTGGAGGTACAGGGATTGGGATTGACAAGAGTCATAGATAATACAATCAATAGTTGAAAGGATAACTTGCGTAAAACAATAGAAAACAGACATGTTATCTTTAATGACAAACAAATTCTGGGTATAAAACAAAAATTAATTGATATTACAGCATAGTTAAGTAATCTTATAGAGAGTGAAGAAAGCATAATATTTATCTTTTGCTCTTTCTTTCAGTTATTGCATGATAAAAAATAAACCATGGATGATCACATTATGATACTAATGAATACCATAATATGACAAAGTTATAGCAAGCTTTTAAACTTTTACCATAAGCATTATTTGAAAGATGACAAACAATTCAATTAAAACAGTTTGGTATAAACAAGGGTGTGACAGAAACATGAGAATAACAGAGCCATCTAATTGGTGTGACAGAAAAATGAGAATAAGATACTTATAAAAATTGTGTGACAGACAGATGTGCTTGAACCATAACAAAATAAAACAAAAAACACAAATGTAGTGTAAAGAGGAGATTACAAATTGGTACGCCAGAAGCCATTTTAAATAACAAACTGATATAAATATTTGCATGACATGTGTCTTTTTAAATAACAAACTGATATTAAGTAATTGTGTTATATAAGATTAGCATCAACAGCCATGGAGTAGAATATGGAGCTGGTGTTCTCCAGAAGTTTATTAGGTGTGTCAAACTCTTTGATCATCCCAGAATCCAGCACCATTACTCTAGAGACAAAGATACAAGAATATAATGAACAGCAGCTCTAGGAATAACATCTACCTGCAACCAGACATACATGACTCAATACATTAACATAGGAATGATACTGTCTTCTAAGAATCTCTACCTACAAACAGATAAATTCACAGAAAATACATAATTTATTATAGCTTTAATATTTTTTTGTAATCTCTTCTTTGAAATCCCTAACCCCAACCCATATTTTATTATTTTTTAATGCTGAAATCATTTTTCTGTGCTATCCACAATAAGAAATAAGAGAACTCACTTGTCGTAATCCAAGATGGTGTTGAGCCTATGCGCTATGGCAATTATTGTACAGTTCTGGAAGGCAAATCTAATTGTGTTCTGAATCAAGGTGTCTGTGTGTAAGTCCACAGCAGCTGTGGCCTCGTCGAGGACCAGAATTTTAGTCTTCCTTAACAGCGTTCTTGCCAAACAAACCAGTTGTCTCTGCCCAACACTGAAAATTTATGCATATAAGACATTTAGCTCATAAGTTTAAGATAGAATTATTTTATTATTACTCCTAATAAATAAAAAGGGATCTTGAATACATTAAGCAGATTGATTTCCAGAAAAAAATAAAAACAAAGCCATTAAACATTCTGATTTAGTTCAAGACAGTTCTAAACTGACATTTTTACAGCATTTTTTTTTAAAATGCTAAAACCAGCCAAACATGACCCTACATTACCTCACTTATAGAAGAGTTAATGTTATTCGTAATACTTTAATTGCCCATCTTCACACTTCAAGTTAATCATAATTTACAAGTACAGGACAAGTATTGGTACAAAAAACATGAGTTATCAATAACACATTCTTTCCCCTCATTGTTTTATAAATTTTAATTGATGTATATAAAAGTCAATAGTCCTTTTACTAAATTACTTACTAAAATGACCCATTAGATTCTGGCCCTTCTCCCCACACATGACTGATAATGACCTGCGATTCTGGCCCTTCTCCCCACACATGACTGATAATAATGACCTGTGATTCAGGCCCTTCTCCCCACACATGACGGATAATAATGTCCTAAGATTCTGACCCTCCTCCCCACATTGGTACATGTCTGATAATGACCTGAGATTCTGGCCCTCCTCCCCACACATGACTGATAATAATGACCTGAGATTCTGGCCCTCCTCCCCACATTGGTACATGTCTGATAATGACCTGAGATTCTGGCACTTCTCCCCACACTGGTACATGTCTCATAATGACCAGAGATTCAGGCCCTCCTCCCCACACATGACTGATAATAATGACCTGAGATTCTGGCCCTTCTCCCCACACACCACTGATAATAATGACCTGAGATTCTGGCCCTTCTCCCCACACATAACTGATAATAATGACCTGAGATTCTGGCCCTCCTCCCCACACTGGTACATAAGCTTGTCTGGTAAATGGTTGACAAACACTTTCAAATGTGACCTCTCCAAAGCTGTCCATACATCATCATCCGTGAACTCATCAAAGGGGTCAAGGTTCATACGTAGTGTTCCAGAAAACAAAACTGGATCCTGTTTTCAAAAATATATACAAGTACAGAGGGGCAAAACATACCAGACAGGGAACTTTTAAAACTTAAAATTGCAATTTTTTAATTATTATATCAAATACCTCTGTATTAGTGTTACATTCCTTTTATTTTTTCAATAGCGAAAGGAGAATTCTCAACTTTCGTCGGATGCACTAAATGCTTTATCTTATAGGATGAAAAATAATTGTCTAATTACCTGGGCAAACTTTGATATAAACATCCTGTACTTTTACCTCGGCAAACGTTAAATATGAGCATCCAATAATTTTTGCAGCATTAAATGCACTTTTAAATTACTCTCCCCTCAGTGGGTATATCCAGAAATCATATTCATATATAAAAAGGTAGTAGTTACACAATATGTTAGGCTAACGTTTAATAGTGAGTAGTTACTTGAGGAAGTATGGTGATTCTTGACCGCAGATCATGCAGGCCCAAGTCAGCAATGTTGACCCCATCCACCATGATGCATCCACCCGCAGACTCCATCAGACGAAATAATGAAAGAGAGAGGGAAGACTTGCCTGCCCCAGTCCGACCAACCACTCCAACCTGTGCAAGGATAATAATTAAACCTGTTCAACAATTTAAAATTTTTATTTCACTCTTTCATCTTTAAACATCTCTCAAAAACAAACAATATGGTTGTATTTGACACACAACTAGAGATGCATTTTCAAGGAAATGGAACAGGTTGTTTAAATTTTGCATTTTGTCTAAATTCTAAAATAAGACTATGAGGAGTAAATTAATCAATATTGAGTGTTGGACTTGTCAAGAGTGTTATAATTAAACATCACCATCCCTGAACAGAAATTCCACTTACGATCAACCTACCTTCTCCCCTCCATGTATCTTGACAGACATCCCTCTAATGACGAGGTCAAGTCCCTCCCTGTACTTGACACTGAAGTTCATGAACTCCACAACGCCATGAGATGGCCATGTTGGGTGGGGGCGTTTAGAGGGCACCACCCAGTCAGCCTAGACAATGAAATGAGGAATATGTATATTAAACATCAACAGCCTAGACAATGAAATGATGAATATTCATATTACTTATACAGCCTAGCCAATGAAATGAGGAATATTCATATTACCCATCTACAGCCTAGCCAATGAAATGATGAATATGTACATTAAACATCTACAGCCTAACTAATTAAATGAGGAATATGTACATTAAACATCTACAGCCCAACTAATGAAATGAGGAATATGTACATTATACATCTATAGCCTAGCCAATGAAATGATGAATATGTACATTAAACATCTACAGCCCAACTAATGAAATGAGGAATATGTACATTAAACATCTACAGCCTAACTAGTGAAATGAGGAATATGTACATTAAACATCTATAGCCTAGCCAATGAAATGATGAATATGTACATTAAACATCTACATCCTAGCCAATGAAATGATGAATATGTACATTAAACATCTACATCCTAGCCAATGAAATGATGAATATGTACATTAAACATCTACAGCCTAACTAATGAAATGAGGAATATGTACATTAAACATCTACAGCCTAGCCAATGAAATGATGACTATGTACATTAAACATCTACAGCCTAGCCAATGAAATGAACAGCCTAGCCAATGAAATGATGAATAGTCTCATGAAATATCTTAAGGAGGAACAGGTGGCCTCCAAGATAGGAAATGTGTTTATGTTTTAATAGGAGGGAATGTTAGAAAGGACACCATTTTGAGTTAACCACAAACTTTCAGAATCCCCTGCACCACAGATGGCGTTATGTCCTATATTACACTCGAATCAATTTTTGAAAACCACGATTTGGACCATAATTTTTTGAACAAAATAAATCCTATTCACATGACACCTCCACAGCCATATCTATGTGGGACACTGAAGCAATAGCTTAGATGTTATTTAAACATTTGATTGTTTGATTACGACATAATTTTAAAAAAAATTAAATAATACCAATTTAATATCTAATCATTTTGACTAGAGTAATTGGAAGAAAAACTTTCATACCTTAAACAAGTCTAACAAACCCATTATTCATTTAAAATTGAATCAAATTTTATAGCAGCTGAGCAGAAATGATTTCAACTATGGTCATTTCATATGAATGCTTGAATAAATGAAAATCTAATTTTAAATAACTATATTTGTTTATCTTTATATTCAAGGCATTATGCTGCATGGCTCTGGGCTTTGACAATGTTAGAATGGGTTAAGTAATTGACATATTAGGATGGTTTGAAGAACTGACCTCTTGGCTCTGACAATGTTAGAATGGTTTAAGTAATTGACCAATTGGGATGGTTTGAACAACTGACCTCTTGTTCAATTTCAGAATATTCCTTGAGTCTCTCCACAGAGACAATGTTGGTCTCAAAGTCTGCCAGTTGTCTGACCATCCATGGAAGACTTCCAGAGATCTGTGTATTCAGAAAATAGTTTTCATATTTTTTTTTTACACAAGCCATTGATGTTCTTAGGTTATAATAGAGATAAAGAGGTTTCTTTAAAAAATACTTAATTTTTCTCTCCCTCTCTCTTTTTGTTTGCAGAGTTCCAATATATTTAGGTAAGGCAAGAGCCCATTTGTCTTCTGTGTTCTTTCTATGATGTTCACCTAATATTCAACATCCTCGCTAACCTTACATACACAGTTCTCTATGTTTTACAGTAATCTTGAATTTCTCTCTTATTTTATTTAATTATTTATTTATTTCTATGTTTTACATTTCCTGATAATCCCATAAGCCAATTCTTTGGTTTCAAGGGTCAATTCCGTAATTGAATATGTCTACTATTTCCTGTCAACTACATAACTTTACAACAAGCTGAGAGTCTTTGTCTCTGTGTTTCTTTGCTGGTGAAGGCTTTTCGGCCGAAACGAACGCTTCTTTTGTGTTGTCCTCTTTCAAGTTTTACTCTACCCTTTAAATTTTCTTATTGCTTTAACCAGAACGCAGGTTCCCCCCCCCCCCTCCAAATTTCTCTAAATTTTATCTACTAATTTTTCTTTGTTTGGGAAGGCTTTTCGTCCGAAACGAACGCTTTTTTTTTGTTGTCCTCTTTCAAGTTTTACTCTACCCTTTAAATTTTCTTATTGCTTTAACCAGAACGCAGGTTCCCCCCCCCCCCTCCAAATTTCTCTAAATTTTATCTACTAATGTCCATTATATTTGAAATGATAATTGGCCCAATTATTTTATCTAAAACTTAACAAACGATTACACAGCTTGTAGCCTGTCCCTTGTTAAGGCTTGAATTGATATTTAGAGGTTTAATATGTATACAATTTATTTAAAACTTTAATTTTTTAAAATTAAAATTTGATCAGGAATAATGAGGAAATGGAATTTGTATTCCTGTAAACAGTTATTAACTTGTAGAGCATATGACACTGTCAATCGTGTCGGTACTAACCTGTAGAGCATATGACACTTTCAGTCGTGTCGGTACTAACCTGTAGAGCATATGACACTGTCAGTCGTGTTGGTACTAACCTGTAGAGCATATGACACTGTCAGTCGTGTTGGTACTAACCTGTAGAGCATATGACACTGTCAGTCCTGCTTGGCCAGCACTGCTGCCAGATGACAACACTTGGAAGAAACCCGAAGAGAAAATCACCAGGTTGGCTAGTGTGTCCATATTAACTGACAGCCACCTGGGGAAGAAGCAAAGTTTTTTAAGAAATTATTATTTAGTTATGTCAATTAGTTTCCTTCACCACATTAAAATTCATGCATAAAAGAAATTATAAAACTATTTTCAATTTTTATGACACCTTTATCCTTTACAATGATTAAAAATAATTAAGAATTATAAAAAGTTATGCAGAAATGGAATGAACATTCTATCACTTTTAAATTAATATAAAAAATTTTTTTTTTTTAAATCTGTAAACTTAGAGCCATAAATTAACTAATACAAAAAGGTATTCCAACCTCAGAGCCATGGATGCGGCAAAGAAGAAAACTGTATTGTCATTGACTCTCTTCTCAGACTCCTTGATAAACCTCTCAGTGACTCCATAAGCCCTGATCACAGATGCTCCTGAGACAGACTCACTGCAGACACCAAACACGGATACAATAATTGTAGCATTAGCCAAAATGTTGCCGTAAGAAATAGCGTTTATAATTTGAAATGTTAATGAAATTAATTGAAATATTTTTAATGAAATAAAAAAAATTTTTTTTATCAACTTGTGAGCCATAAACTTCATACAGTTTCAGAGAGATTTTTTTAAAAAATCAACGAACTTGAATTTAACTGTGGAAGGTTCATTTTATCTAAGAGCATTATTTTTTGCAGGATTAACTTATAAAATTGTTATATAAAAATTATTCTTCAACATGTTTTAAAGATAAAAACTTATTGATCAAGATTTAGAGTCAATTTTGTTGCCCAATTTAACACACACATAAAAAACTGGGCTGGTCACTATTGAAGGAACAATGACGACTATCCAGGCTCTCCATGATGTACAAGATAACTAATGGGCTGGTCCACTGCTCCAGCATTAAGCAGAAACTCGTCCCTCTCCCCCATAGACGGCGACGAGGCCATGACAGGCAGTTCCAGCTCATACCAGCAAGAAGCCAGTACAGGAGCTGTTCATTCCTACCAAATACAATCAGGGACTGGAACAAGCTTCAAAAAGGAACAGTTGAGGCGACAACGCTCGACATATTTGCGCCTATTGCCTCAGGTCTTCCAACCCCAGTGAATGATACCCTCACTAAGTAGCCCTTGCAACCAGTGAAATATCCTCTTCAACATCAGGCACAGAACCACTGCAAATCCTCTCTACATGCATAGGAGCCAGAATGATCAATAAATTGATCTTGGCCCTTAAGATATAGAAGAAGAAAAAGTGTGTATAGATGGAATACATACCTAAAGTGTGTATAGATGGAATACATACCTAAAGTGTGTATAGATGGAATACATACCTAAAGTGTGTATAGATGGAATACATACCTAAAGTGTGTATAGATGGAATACATACCTTAAGTGTGTATAGATGGAATACATACCTTAAGTGTGTATAGATGGAATACATACCTAAAGTGTGTATAGATGGAATACATACCTAAAGTGTGTATAGATGGGTGACCTCTTGATATGTTCAATCCTCCTCAGCTGACGAGATGTTGGAACATAAAACCTCTGGAATATAAGATTATTCCTTTAATTTGAAACCATTCTGAAGCACACACAAGTGATCAAATCATTTATTAGTATATTCTATTAGAATCACCTCTGCTAAGATTGGTATCACAAGACATGAACAGTGCACAAAATCTGAAGTATTTAAAATATAAAAGAGTGATAGCACATACATACAGACAAACAATAACACATAAATACAGAGAAACAATAACACATACATACAGACATAAAATAACACATAAATATATGTATATATATATATATATATGACACATACACACATGCAATAACATATACATACATACAATAACACATAAAAACATATTCATGCATGCAGTAATACTTACACAAATACAATAACACATACATACATACATACAATAATACATAAATACATATATACATACATAAATACAATAACGCACACATACATACCATAAGACATACAATAAGACATACAATGACCTACACAATAACATATAAAAACCTATAATAATGCATATATACATAAAATATTACACACAGACTGACAAAAACACACACAATCACATACACAAATATATACAAATACATATACACATATATACAATCACATACAAGCACACACACACAATTACACACATTAACAAACACGCTCACAAACACACACCTACACAAACAAAAACAGACACACTCAAAAACAAAAACAGACAACACACAAAAACACTCTCAAACAATCTCTCTCTGCCACAATCACAAACACACACAATTGCATGCACAAAACAATCACACACACACAGAGCCTAACACACACAAAGAAACACAATCTCACACACAAACACACACAATACACACACACAAAAATCAAGACAACAATACATAGTATCAAGCGTTTCTGTACCAAGATAAAAAAGAAGAGTATGATGACAGGAACAAGGACTGCCCCAAACACTGGACTCTCAATCATGATGACGACAATGGTGATGAAGTTGGTGCCAAATGTTCCAATAAAGTCACGGCAGAGGATTGGAAGAAAGTTATCCACCTGGAAGTAAACAACAGCAGTAGATAACCAGGATGACATCTTGTATGTAACAGAGATTTCATATCATTATCGCATACTTGTACAGTTACCTGCACTTTTTTAGTTTTTTTAAATTTTCCCAGCATTTTTTAGTTCTTCCATGTGATTTATAAAAAAATATATTTTTGCACACGGCAGTGTGACACTCGTTAAAATAATAGCAGGTTCAATAAATTCAATGTCGGTAAAAGGGAAACTTAAATCATATTATATGATTCTCAATACATAAGTCAAACTAAATTAGGCAACTAAATTTCATCTGTGCATATTTTTCAGCTCTTCAATAGTTTGGAGGTTTTAACTGTAGCAAAGTACTAACATAAGTGTTCAATAAGGATGATGGCTACTGGAGTGTGTTGTATGTGTACATGTGTGACACACTTTTAACAACCCTGCTCGCAGCCCCAAAAATGTAGTAGTGTGCAGGTCCTTAGGTACTGGTTGGTGATGGTGATTGTTTGTACCAATACTGACACTGACAGTTACTCATAAAAAAATTGAAGAAATTCAGGTCTCGAGGACTATAGCTTTATTACTACTCTACAGGAAAAGTTCACTATGATGAAAATGGTCCGAAGGAAAAGTCTTAAGAAAATGATAAAGAAAAAGTCTACTATGAAGAAAAAGGACAATATAGAGCGTTCCAATGGACCGCACTGAACAATGCACACTGCAAGGATGCTGTCCAATCTCGAATGACCCCCTACTTAGTGTGCACCCCTTTATAAAGCCATGCACGGACATATGAGAGAGCTCCTTCGTCACACCAAAACCAAGCCGGTCTACATTTTGCCTTCTGGCCAATGTCCTTGAGTGAAATGCCTAACCCTGGGGACTACACCCGAGTCATCATTAAAATCCCTGACCAAAGCCCTAAAGACTTCTATGTGATCTGTGCAGTTTTGTCTCAGCTCTCTCAGATACTATTTTATAGTTCTATGAGTTAAATGGTTTTTGAGATATTTTAACTAGAAGGGGTGGGGACCACTCTGGATGAAGGTGAAAAACTCCTTTAATGACTGAATGTTAAAATATCCTCCAACGATGGAGACTTGTAAACATGCTACAGAATAGTACATAAAATCTCCTTTCCAACTAGATGTAATTTATAACTTAATACGCTAGGGTTCCAGAGAAATAAATTATTAAATTCCTAACTAAAGCACACATAGTGGTATTTAAGTACATCCCCCCCCCCATGGGAGAGAGAAGCCGGCCGTACAAAGGCCATGTGGACTGGGGTGAAAGAGATACCTGAGGTCAACATTCCGACCTAGTGTTAGGTGAGGTCACACAGCGCGTTGGGCGCCCACCATGGTTTTCGTACTAATAGCGGTTGTTTCGAAATAACGGGGCACACACTGCCACATAATTTTTTTTATTTGAAATCAAGCCGTGTTGAATTTGTTTGATAGGATTTGACTGATAATCTTGTTTTTTATTGTGAGGAACAGCGCTTACATGGATTTTTGGACATCGTTAGCATAAACGAAGACATATTCATAACCGCAAAAAAAAAAAAAATATATATATACGCCACCTTGTAAACAAATGGCAAAATCAAATCAACCATCCAAAGACAAATCAGCTACAGAAAAAAGGAGTGTCCCCTGATCATGGAAGAAGAAAAAAATGAGGACTCCATTCAAACAAAAATCTACGACTCTGTTCCTAATTACAACTGACACTCAAGAACTCAACAGCCATTCTTACCGCACAATTATCCAACAAAATTATTCTGTAGCAAGCAAGACTTTCAAGGAACAACGAAAAACTCAAATAAGGATATTCAAGACGGAAAAAAATGTGTAGGAGGTATGAAAAAAAACTAATTTCCATTTATTTGGATCAATAAAAAATATCTTATCTTAAACAAGCCCATGTAGTAAGCAGAGTGCAACCTACTATTTCAATGTCCCTGGAGCACCTGTTTATTATACGGCCGACGGGAGTTGTGTCAAAAAAGGCCATAGGTGCTTTGAAAAGTCTGGTGGTCATTTGAGAGTGGAGATTTCGCCCAGCCACCACCATCCTGGTCCAGAACATGTAATAGTAGCTCACAAGGAAAAACACTGTTTGTGTATAAGGAAATAGATGAATCAATTAGATACAATGCAGATTTATTTTTTTAAGCTTTTGTTGGAACCATCAAGTCAATTTAGATAAATAATGACATTTAAACAATACAAAACTTAACAATAAGCAACAAAAAATTTAGCTATTGATATTTTAAGAATTCATCTCACTTCAAAGTATTTTTCAGTCAAAGTGCTTTTAGTCAAAATACTTTTCAGTCAAAGTGCTTTTAGTCAAGTACTTTTCAGTCAAAGTGCTTTTAGTCAAAATACGTTACAGTCACTGCGCTTTTCAGGAGAGGTGCCAACAACTGCCTACCACCATTTTCTCCATTATAAAATTACAAATATAAATTTAATTTAATGTTGTGTTAAGCTCCTAGTTCTATTTTACACATCTGTGAGCATTAAGCCTACACACACATTTCACATCCATTAAGCTTCAAATTGAAACAAACAAAAAATCTCAAAATGAAACATCCAAGACAATGCCATCAGCCCACATTAGTGAATACCTTGCACAGCACCAAACACGGCATAAATGAGCAGGTACCAGCTGTTAGTGTCAGACACGACATCAAATGACGTTGAGCTGTTGGCCAGAACGGCGTCCTCTGTCCAGCTGGTCAGCCAGAAGCTGGCCCCGACACTGACCGCTTGAAAGATCCAGAACAAGACGATGGCCACCGTGATGGGAGCCACACCGGCTGCTTTCAAATACTTGAGGTAAACACCAGCAGGCACCTGGCTCAGAGTCAATCACACAGGAAACAGTCATGGGAATATTTGTTGAATACATTATGGTCAAATAAAACATATTTGAAACCACTCAAAATAGAAAACATTGATGTGGATTTTTTAAAACAATTTATAAAGACAACACTATCAATAAGTTTGAGTAACATACCTTTCCTAAAGCCAAGACTTCCAAAAGTATAAGTTTGAGTAAGTAACATACCTTTCCTTTGGCCAAGAATTCCACAATTATAACTTTGAGTAAGTAACGTACCTTTCCTTTGGCCAAGACTTCCAAAAATATAAGTTTGAGTGAGTAACATACCCTTCCTTTGACCAAGACCTCCACAGATATAAGTTTCCCTTTCTGTTTGTCAACCAGTTTTTCCTCCATCAAGCTTTCATCATGGCGGGATAATGTCATGCTGTGGTCAGGCCTCCTAGTGAACACAAAGCCATAGTTGAAGATATAATTTGTGTTTGGCTCCTCTTTTAACAAGCAATACATCATACTTGCAATAGACATAATTACTAATAAATCTTCTTCTTCTTCTATATTTTGAGGGCCAACGATCAATGAATTGATCCTTCTGGCTCCTATGTTTCAGAGGGGTTTGTGATGTAACTGTGCATTGTTTTGAAGGGGATACTTCACTGGTTGCAAGGGCTACTCAGCAATGGTGTTATGAACTGGGGGTTGAAGGCCTGAGGCAATAGACGCAAATGTGTCAAGTGTTGTCGCCTCAACTGTTCCTTTTGGAACCTTGTTCCAGTCAATGATTGTCTTTGGCAGGAATGAGCAGTTCCTTTCCTGGGTTCTTACTGGTATGAGCCGGATTTGCCTGTCATGGCCTCATCGCTGACTATGGGGGAGAGGGACGAGTTTCTGTTTAATGCTGGAGCAGTGGACCAGCCCATTAGTTATCTTGTATATCATTGAGAGCCAGGATAGTTGTCGTCGTTCCTCCAATGGTGACCAAATCTATAGATTATTACATAGATACTGGCCTAATTTTGCTTAGCTTCTATCTTTAGATGGCCAACCAATCCTAGGGTTGCCAGATGGTATCCAATAAAAATGTCCTCCTTCAACCTTAAAATGTCCTCCTTCAACCTTAAAACGTCCTTCAACTTTAAAATGCCATCCTTTTTGTAAATTTGTGTGCAGTGTAAAAACAAAAGTATAGACTATTTTGCAACCTAATGACATTAGGCAAATCTGAAGACAAAGGAATTAAGTTCTTCAAAGATCATAGGCATCATGAATAATGAATGTTAGTTTTCAAATCTTGAGAGCAGTAATGATTCTTTTTCATAATTACTGAATTTTATTTTTGTATTCCTGCTCATAATGCAAACATGGAGAGGGATTTTTCACTGCTGAATTCTCAAAGGACCAAGGAGCAGAATAGACTTGATGTGGAGTCAGTGGAAGTAATATTACACAGTACACATTCAAGAATATGACTTGCTCAGATTTTTATTGTTACCTTTTAAGTAACGAAGAACTTTTGTCAAAAATAGCCAGCTCTGAGAAGTATGTTTAAATAGCTAGCTCTGAGAAATATGTTTAAATAGTTAGCTCTGCAAAGTAAATTTAAATAGCTAGCTCTGATAAGTATGTTCAAATAGCTAGCCCTGAGAAGTATGTTTAAATAGTTAGCTATGCAAAGTAAATTTGAATAGCTAGCTCTGATAAGTATGTTCAAAAAGCTAGCTCTGAGAATTATGTTTAAATGTCTAATTAGTGTCAAATGTATGTTTAAACATATTTTAATTTTGTAGTTATTCATTAAAATTTATTTCAGAATAAATTTAGATTTAAATCTTAAATTTAGATCTTGAAATGGTCTCCTTTCAAATTTAAATGTCCTCCTTTTCTGACCTAGTCAATGTGAAATTACCTCTTTCTTTTTTGTATCTGGCAACCCTAACCAATCAAAACATTAAGTTCAGGACTTTTCAAACGGATCAATAGGATTTAGGCTTCTTTTGACCTACAATGAATTTATTGTGTCTTGTGCAATGTTTTTTAAGAATTAAATAATTTTTCCTCTCTAAATCCTTGAACAACCATACACCATTTAAAACCCATAAAAACTGAAAGAGTACGGGTAAACCCTACTGTTTAGTATGAATGAATTTATCATCATCTAATAATGAACACAATGTCATAGAGATATTAGTCTTCCCAGACCCACCTTTAAAAATCTTTATTCAACAATTTTTCTGTAGGGCAATAATAGCCCACTAAGAGGTAGCAGCTGATACATGTCTAGCAATGGGCTAATACTGAGGTGGAATAAAATCATAAGTATGGTAAGGCAGCTATTGTTTGTTATTGTTGAAACATTAAGTACATGTCCTCTATTACAGCAGAACACAGGCATGGGAATATAAATTTGCTATCCCAACCCACACAGAAATAAAGATGGTTGTGTAATCAAGCAACGATAGATTATGGTTGACAATGCCACGGATCAGTTTCCTCATCAAATAGGCCTATACTTCCAAGTTACATTTGCATGGTACATCACTTCTGTTTGAAATATGATTAATAAAATGAATCAATGGCTATAGTTTTCACAATCACTCTGATACACGCTAAATTACCTTCTCCTGAATATCCGACTTTCATCTCCCGAGGTGGCTGCGTCCGACGTGAGTAATTCTATCTTGCCCCACATGTTGTCTTTTATGGCTGCAACTAGAGGGCATAAGGCTTTTTAACATTTAATCACAGGTTGAGGATCACTGATACTTTTAACGGACTTAACCTCCCTGATCAAAAGGGACTTTGAAGATCATTTTTGATTTAGGATGATTCAGTTTTGCAAATATTTCAAACCAATCTTTTCAAAGAAACTATATATACTGTGTACAGTATCTAATTAATGGCATTTATCCTTTGACAACAGCATGTACTATCATCAAGGTCAAACAAATACTTCACTTTCAAACAGTTAGCATTTCCAGTGTCCCGACAACCGATTGAGATATTCCTATCTATCACCCAAGTCAAAGAATGAGGACAAATGTAGCAAGAGACGGGTCCATGGGCATCTACACAGGGGGAGGGGGCAAGGAAGCAGTTGCTTCCAATTTGAGCTGGGAAAGAGGGGGGAATAAACAACACCTCCTTTTTTCCAATTTTTGTTATTTTGTGAATTTCTCCAGGTAACAAAATCAAAATTAATATTGGAGAGGAAAAAACATGAATACTCTGTAATTTTTATTAAATTTGTTTGTTGGGGAAGGGGTGGGGATTTTTTTTCATTAGAAGAAAAATATATATTTAAATTTGATTGGCTTAGTGTGGGTATTGACCTCCAACCCTAAAGTATGGAAAGACATATGTTTTGACCGTATAGCCACACCAACCTCTAGAAAAGTCAATGAATTTTCAAATTCCAAACCAAAATAAAAATTATAGTTCTACTAAAATTCTTTTTTTTCATAATCAGAGGATTTGATAATTTAATTTTTGTAAAAATGGGAAAAAAATGTATTATCAATATTATTATTGAATAAACAATGTTCTAACAAAAATTTTAAATATATAAATTTTTGCATTGCGAAGTCAAAGGTCTAAAGAGGGAAGGGAGATAACTTCCACCACTCAGGGAAAATAGATGCCCTGGACTTGTAAATGCTCGATTTTTGTTTCCTAAATACAAACCATTAAGATATTTTTTATCAGTTAACTATTCATGATGTAATAGAATAACAGAAAAATTTAGCTTTCAGTATAGATAAGTAATTAACTAAGAACTTATCAAACAAAAATAAAAATACAAAACTGACCCTCTGGATCCTCCTCCCTCTCAAAGAAATCCAGTTGCTCTTGTGTCAAGTGAACCTTCAGAAACCTCGCAAAAGGACCATCATGGGCAAGTAATTGTTCGTAAGTTCCTATCTCACTTATTTGCCCTTCATTCATAACAACAATCATGTCAACTTGTGGGAGGAAATGGACTCCATGAGTGACTAAAACACGAGTCTGAAATGCAACAATGAGATCACTGCAAGGTCACAGCAGTTTTGATCATTGTTATAGCTTGTGTTTTGACCTATTTTTTGTTCACCATGGGTGGTGTGGTGTCAAGCTCTGACATGCAACCTTAACCTTGGTTTTTTTGTTACTACAACACCAATTAACTTGGTTACATGTGCTGCTTTTTTTTCTCCCACCCCCCTCGACTGGGAAAGTTTGTTTACATTTCCAGAAGGGTCAACATACAGGGAGAAAAAAACGCACCCTGTTGACTGAATTTCTAGACTTTCTGTTCTGGAGGGGTCTGACTCCTTCACTATAAATTTGACGGTCAACTGTGACCAGCAGACTTACAAGACTTACAACCTTGACCTTGTAAGTTTGTGTGTATTAATATTTGTACCTTTCTCTTATTATACTTTTTCCTTTGCTTTCTTATAGTTTTATTTCTGTATTTTTTATTTTTATATCAACTTAATAGTACAATTAAAATGATTATTGCTAATATCACAAGCTTTGTTATCACTTTTCTTTATATACTGAGTCATTTGTAACGTATTGTTCATCTAACAAGCCTCAACTAAAATTCAGCCTGATCTTGAAAACAATTTGAAACAGTAATACCAGGGTTTATGTATGTTACTATAGTTTTTGAAATAGTGATACCAGGGTTTACTTGCGTTACTATAGCTTTTGAAATAGTAATACCAGGGTTAACGTGTTACTATAGTTTTTGAAATAGTAATACCAGGGGTTATGAGCATAATTTGCTTTAAACTATTTAAAAATTATTTCATTATGGATCTATTGTATGGTTCCTAGAAAATAATTCTAATAAAGTTTTAACGGACTACTGTAAAAAAAAATGTATGGTCATTTTGTTTTGTTAATGCTGGGTATTCTGGTTTTTCTAGTAGCTACACAATTATCCGGTATAATTTCAAAATGTATCTGTGGTTTAGTTTAGATATAAAAGTATATGACATCTATCTGAGGTTTAGCTCACTTTGTTCTTCAGCAGTCCTCGAGGGCCTATGACATTGTCAAACATGGCCTTCCCCACATGGCTGTCCACCGCACTCAGTGGGTCATCCATCAGATAAAGATCACAGTCTTGATAGACAGCCCTGGCAACTGACACTCTCTGCTTTTGTCCTCCCGAGAGGTTAATGCCCTGTAGGAGAGTTGCACATTAATAGTGGTATAGAAAGCAATAATTTTTAAAACATTGCTATTAAAACGAGCCTGACTTATCCTTTAGGGCACCACAGAGTTGTCTCTGTATTAGATCAGAGTTGGGCAAACTTTTGTTAACTGCACGCCAGACTCAAGAGGTAACAGAGGCATGGGAGCCATAAATGGTGAACAATAGAAACTTTCTATCCCCAGAAATTTGGGATTTTACCAGAAGGGCGAAACAGCAACATATAACAGTGACATCTGCAATCTAACATTTAAATTTAACTTTTCCATTTTTATGATTATTTTAGTGATTTAATTTTTTATTAAAGTGAGCGTGAGCCATTAAAAACGGAGGTGCAAGCCACAATTGGCACGTGAGCCTGTTTGCCCACCCCTGTATTAGATGAACAAACAGTGAAGCACTAAACTGAAGGTGGAACATTTAGTATTGCACCCATGATTAAAGATAAGATTCTTTTATTTGATCCAAACAAATTGAAAGTTTTTTTTTTTTTTACAATGTACTTTTTCAACACATAAATAAAACAATTTGAACACAAGACATCCACATTAAATTATTTCAATAGTGAAAAAAGCAGCCATTCAGTGAATTCTCTTATTAGGGACTTATTAGTTCTCATTAAGATTTGTGACTTCAGGGGGAGCACGCTGGTAAATTGGTACAGATTGGGGAACAAACAAATTTTTATATCTTTCAGTCCTCGCCCTGAGAGAAATAATTAGTCCGGAATGGGCTGATCCTAAGTATATGTGATGGAGAAGGTGGGATGTATCAGCCAAAGTGTGTTTAGTTTTACAATAACATCTTTCTTCAAATAGTTCTTCAAGTGAAGAATGTTTAGTTTGTGTTATGTTCCTAGCTTTGTTGATTAGACTATTTATTCGGTGTTTAATATCAGACGATGAATTCCCACACCAACAGGTAATATTGAAATTAAGTAGGCTTTCAAATGTTGCACTGTAGAATAAGCCACGTGTTTGTTTACGCGAAATTGTAGTTTTTTGAGTTAGAACAATCTTTGGTTGAATTGCTTATACAGCATTTGGCCGTGCTCATGCCATTTTAGCTTATTAGTAATGGTGACACCTAAGTACTTGTATGCCTCTACTTTCTCTGCACTTTGATTTTTTTATGTTTAGATCTGTAATCTGGTGTTTCCCCCTCCTGAAATCAACAACCATTTCATTTGTTTTTGAGACATTCAGCTGGAGAAAATTTTCATCGCACCAATTGATAAAGCTTGTAACTAAGTTGCGATATAAGCCTTCTTCTTCAGATATTAAATAAATGAAAGGACTGCTTTCAAGCTTAGTAAATGAATGAAATAGTGAAACGATGTATGTGGAAGCTTGAAATAAGATAACAGGACATATATATAGATAGATGTCCTGTTATCTTATTTCAAGCTTCCACATACCTCGTTTCGCTATTTCAGATATTAAGCCAATGATGGTGGTATCATCAGCAAATTTTAAGATTGGAACAGTGTCACTTGAGCTCTGAATATCATTGGTATACATTGTATAAAGTACATGGGAGAGAAAGCAGCCTTGTGGCGTCCCGGTGCTTATTTCTCTGGTTTGAGATAATTGGTCATTTACCTTAACATATTGTGGGCGATTGGTTAAAAAGTTCAGTATCCAAGACTGATATTTAAATTTACACCTAACGAGGAAAGTTTCTTTTTCATAAGTGGGGTTTGATTAAATTAATATGCATGATAACATAGCTTGGGCCATCGCTTGTTTAGCTCTTAACCTTTTCTCCAATTTCTGTTTGATCTCCAGCTGTCAGGATGGTGAAGTCCCTTTCTAGTTCACAGGCTGAGACAACCATTTTGTATTTCCTCTCCTTGAAGGTCTTACCAAAGGTTATATTGTCTTGAACAGTTGCATTCTGTATCCATGCTTGCTGCGGTACGTAAGCCACTGCGCCCTAAAAAAGGAAATGAAATCTGACACAACTGACCTTAAGTGGTTAAACATTCAAAATATCCCCACGGTATAAATCCCTTGCCTTAGGTTTGGAGCAGTGACCATACGACCTGGGCACACAATATGCAGGGAATCTGAGCACGTTCACATGATTTTTTTTTCAATTACAAACATGAACATAGAAGGTAAAAATTAATCCAAATGACATGAAGTGTTATTTTATAAACTACCACTGTTTAAATCGTGATAGACTAGCAACATATTAATTTAGACATCATAAATTTGAAATTATAGTGTTAAACATTTCAACAAAATTCAACTGACTGTTGAAATAAATTGTATCACTTGGATTACTTGGATATTGGAAAAAAAAGTCACCGCATCATTTAACTGTTTAAATATTTGTATTTAAACATGGGTCAAATAATAATGTGATTAAACATGAGTCAAAAATGTGTTTAAACATAGATAATATACTGTGTTTAAACTGGGATCAAATAATGTGTATTGCAAGTTTAAACATGGGTCAAATAATGTGTTTGAGAATGATTTTTAAAAATGTACTCATACTAACCTTTCTAGCAATGGTTCCTTTCCTTTTCTCCATGTCTCCCAAGATGGCAGATATCAATGAAGATTTCCCAGCTCCAACTTGTCCCACGACCGCCACCAGCTGACCTTTGGGGATTTCTAAATTGATGCTGGACAAAAACAATTGCATCCAATGAAGAAAATATATATTATTTCTTACCATATTTTCACAAGGGCATAAAATTATAGAAAAACTCACTTTTTTAAGGTCGATGATGCTCTCTTGTCCCATGTTAACTCGGCCCCTTCCATCACTACCATATGTTCTGTAAAAAAATTTTTTTTTTTAAATAAAAAAAGGAATTACTAATATGAGTACCTCTTGAAGTACCTTCTGGTAGATAATCTCTTATTATTAAAAAGAGTGATTCCCATCTAACAACACACACATTATATAAAGGTGGTCATACAAATTAATAACAGAATCCCTTGGTCGTAAACCCCTTGGTACGCCAAAGCACTCTTCATGCAAGCCACTGAACTATGTGATACTTGTGGGTTGGCATCCGTCCGTCACAATGTGACGATGGAGTGGGCTTCGGAGGACGAAATCCACATGGCCTGGGATTATACTTCAAGGATTATAAGCTGGTTCCCAGCAGCAAATCGCCTCTCTCCACGCCGCTGGGTAACCCAAGGGAACCCAATGAATGATACAGCTTGGCACCAGTGACGTCGCAGGAGTTGCTGGAATGTTTCATTGTATCAATGTTATCCGCCTTTCGGGACTCCATCTCCGGGTTTGATTTCAAGGTTGACGAGTCTCATCTACCCGGGGTGCTGGTGGTGTTATTGCTTGACTGGGCTCTAGCTGGAATTGAACTCCAGACCACCAACTTGAGATTTTGCTCAGTTTAGACCATTCGGCCACCCAGCACCCGTGATACTTGTAGTAATGTGCAAATATACATAGTTTATTTTCGTTTATTTTTTTTTAAAATCTGGATTTCAAGACCAAATCTTACTTTAAAAAGATTAAAAAAATGTATTCACTAATACCAAAGCTATGGCCATTTATCAATTAAAATGGAAAATGATCCTCATTCAAAAGTCTCCATTTTAGTTATACCTGAGATAGGGGATCTATACAAATCATTCAGATAAACATTCAAGTTCATTTTTCAAATGTATCCCATTAAAATGGGAAGGAATTTGCAAAGATGTTGCCTTATAAACTTTTACTATTAAGGCCCAGGCGCTAAAAGAACTTAATCTTTAATATTTTAGACCAGCTAGTATTTTAGGTTGGATAATGAACAAACCTAATTTTAAATGTAGGCCTTCTATTTTTTTGAAAGCATAGAATAACATTGTATTTCAAATGCGTGCACCCAACAAAAGCCCACTAAAAACCTTCCTTTAATTAACAGATTTTTGTTTACTCAATGCCCTCTACATTTTAAGATTTTGTAAAATTACAGCTTATGATCAAACTTTCCAGGAACCATTTCAAAATCAGGAGGAATGGCCATGCAAGTTTTGGTTGTGATCCATTGTTTGGGATCTCTTGTAATGGATTAACCCATCTACAAACGAACGAACATGCAAAAACAAAAAAAAAACAGTCACACAGAGCTTCATATAGTAGATGCTGTACGTTTATTAGTTTGTAAGTCTTTTAGTTAATATTTATTTTAAAGTCTGGATATTAACAAATGTTTATTTTGCTATAGTACCATTATTTTAAGGGGTCGGCTTATGAGCGGATTATAAACTTTTCAGATTTTTCTCCCTGCCAAAACTTGGGGCAGGGGCTTTATGTATGAGCATGCTTTAGAATGAGCGTGAACGGTAAGTGAAATTAACCAAGAGAACAAAATAACCTACTCACCAGCATCTGGCAAAATAATAACTGCATCCCTTGTGAGTTCATCATACTGTAAAAACTTGCCAATCCTTTTTACTGACACGTATGCCTAAAATGAATTAATTTTGGTTTACCTATAGTGAGACTTATATTTTTTTTAAAATATAATAATATACTTTGTGCTTTTGAAATTTATTTACATTTTGCTAACAATAATTTGAACTAATAATCGACTGCATGTATGAAGCTCATAGAACATTGTCCTTTTTAATACGAGTGGAATCATATTCTTGTTTTAAATCTTTCAAATTTATCATTTTGTGCAACAAGAAATAAAAGTTTAATAGTTTTGTTAGTTTTTTGTTGTTGTTTTTTTTACTTAATTAAATAAGAATTTTTATGTTACCACAGTTAATTGAGTTTCAAATGGATAATTGGATCCTCATATAAAATATCAATTTTGACACTTCATTAAATAAAAAATATGCTTTTATGGTCCGTGATTTTTTTTATCTGCCTACAGCATTTTTAGTTCATCAGTTTAACATGTAAACTTGGCGTTTCTTTCGTTTTGGCCATGAGCCGCTGGTAGCGCCAATGTTTGTATCATAGTAAATGGAGTCAAATATTTATATTATTCGGTTCCCGTTTTGCTTCAAGATTTTAATTTACCCACCGGATGTTTATATTCGAAACGCATGCTATGTTTTAAAAAATGAAATGTTAATTAGTTTTGATTTAATTTCCTAGCTGGTTACAAAATAGTACATGTTTACCGTGGCAACATGTGACAGGGTTACTTACTAAAGGCATATAAGTGATTGGAAGTGTAAATTTTTTCAATTTCTGTGTTCTTTGGTGAATTTTTCTTATATTGGATGTACTATTTGGAAACAAACGAATAAAAGGCTTTAAATGATTTGGAAATTTAAATTTATACGTAAGTTGGCACATCAATATATTTTTATTGTTTTTCTATTGAAAATACTAATTTAACAATTAATAATTTCCTAACAAAACTTAACTTTACAAATGTTTTAAGTTTATATTATAGATAATTCAATTACATAAAAAATGGTTTATTAATCATTAGAATATGTTTATAATTAAGAAAACCGCAGCTGAAATTGTACATACACCTAAAATGAAAAAAATGTGACCTAGATTTAATTCGGCCACAGCGGGTTTTTCAATCTGGTAGTTAATCAGTTAAGCCCAATGCTGGTATAATGTTTGGTCATTTTGAGACAAGGCATGTCCCATATTAGATCAATGTACTGATGCTCACCTGAGCACCCAATGAGATGATGGATGCCATAAAGTCTAAAGGTGTCTTTAATATGTTGAACAATGCCAAGGTCATGAAGGCAATTCCCGGGTCAAGATGATTTTCAGGGTCAATGCAGACATAAGTCGCAAATGTCACCAGCGTCATCTATGATTGTAAAGGGGGGAAAATGATCATTTGAAGAAAATGTAAAAAAACAATTATTTAAATTTAAAATAATATACCGAAAAAATGTCCTTATTTCTAATATATTTTCTAGTAACATACATTATATAATCTTATTCTCCTTCTAAGGCTAGGAAAGATGTTTGTGAATAATGTACATGGAATACATTTATTTAATTTTTCATAAATTTGCATCACTTGTTTAAAAAAAAGGCTTTTTATTCATTATCCAGATAGCTGGTGTTTTATTTGTATTTAAAATATCATTGCGCTTTTGTTTGGAGGGTAAGCCTGCTGCCAGTTGCATGTTTTTAAAAGCAAGGTTGTTATTTGGAGGTAGTGTTCTGGGGCGCCCCCACTTGGGAACTCGGATGCCATGGAAGAGCCATGAGCCAACCACAAATACTCACTACCATAGCCTGAAGATTATGGGATGGATTTGGCCAAGGAATGGGAAAAAGTAAAAGGTATTAATGCTAAATAAACTCTAGCAGACCAAACTACCATAGACCTCATGTGATGATGTTCCTCAAGGAATATGTAACAAAGAGCAGAAATCGACTGTAGGGGACTTGTTTTGTTGGTAGATGTGACAGATTCCTCTTTCATAACACTTAAACCTAGATTCAAGTAATTAGAAGCCCAAAACTGAGACCTGATGTGCATAGTTTATGACAATGAGGACTTATTATTAAGGAGATACACCTCCTAGTGACAAAGACCTTTGCGGCTCTCCACTTTTGATAGTGTCTAATCAGTCATTTTTGCAATCAGACAAAGCAAGAGTAAATAGATGGAATACCCACAAACTTGCCACAGTAGGCTGTCTACTAGTATGTTGTCTACTCGACCATTCAACTTTTTATATTCCTTTGTTGGGAAAACATGTGGAACCACAGGTTGAAAATTACCAGCTGTACATTGTCGTCTTACTGGCCCATCAGAGAGTACCTGTTGAACAATTACAAACTCACTAGATATCCAGCAAGATTCCAGCAGACACCAGTGACAACATACAGCATAGCTATCTTCAGTAATGTTCCTATCTCTGCTGCCCTGACACCTTCTACTCTGTCATGAAAGGACTTCTCCCAGGCGTACAGCTTTAGTGCCTGGCATGGATGAACAACCAATTAGATATGAAAATCATACAAGTGATTCAATAATAAATCAGTTATCCCCAACCTTCTAATTGCTGCTGATTAAACAATTCAAGAATAAGGGGGAAGGGAAGAGACTGCAATCAGGGTAAGGTAGGGGAAACCATGACAAAAGGGGCACAACAAAATAATGAAAACCCTTGAATTTCTTACTTTGATGCCGTTCAAGATTTCATTCATCATTCGTATCCGAGTGTCCTTGAACTTCAAATTATCTTTCAAAAGATCACTCTGCTTTGTGGCAATCCAAATGCTCAGTGGCATGAGAATTATAACTACAAGGAACCCTGAACATAAAGAGAAATATAATGAATACTTAACATTAGTTTAAACAAAATGTTCTTTGGAAATGCCCCCCAAACCTCCCCGAAAATCTGCACCCGTTTTAATAATTATCCATTCAATCATTTTAAAGCAATAAATTCCTTTTCTTCCATCGCTGGAGGTTGAGGAATTGAGAGTCTATATTTGAAAGAAATATTCCTTTTACTTCTAGTCAAACAAACAAACCATTCAGGGTTCTGGGAATGTCTAGTCTACTCACCAACCAGGACAGCTGGCCCAATCAGTAGATATATAATCAATATAGATACAATGACTTGGATTGGAGTTGTGTGACAAAACGAGATCTTGATGAGAAACTCTTGAATTCTTTGGGCGTCCACAGACATCAGGTTGACTATATCACCGACAGTTGATTCTTTCTTTGCTTCATTGCTGATTCTCATTGCCTGAGGAAATCAAGAACAAATTGAAATCAACATAACGTAAGTGTGCTCAGCATCACCTTTTATATCGCCCCCAAAGCCTCAGATATCAGCTTCCTCTTGAAAATGACATTTTTTTTTTTTAAAAATCTCTGTGACACTATATTTCCCTATAGCTTTAATGCATTTTATATTTAAATCTCACTTTCAATTCATCATGACAATTAAACAGTAACTTATGCTCACAAATGAATAGAAAAGAATATAATTTCTCACTAGTTTACTTTCTCCTTAACTATTTTAGTTTAAGTTTGTTAAAAAAACTAGTTTAAAGCCTAATGCACAAATTCCGTTATTTAAAGTATATTTGATGCTATAGTCTTAAAGAAATTTCTACTTATATCTACTCATAGAGTGGTGTCCCCGCAAAAATATAATTTTTTTGTTATTTTTACAAGATTCTAATTTTTTCCCTTATATTTTTACGACAGCTTTCTATTTTTCGTTTAGAAAGGATATAAATACAATTTTATTATCTCACGGAGTTGACCGACACCGTACATCTTTTATGATTGATTAATTTTTTTTACTCAAAATTTGCCTGCTCCCCATTTGCGTCAACTTTTTCTGTCTGAGGACTTTAGTGACAATGCACAATAAGATTTATTTTTTCTGTGGTAGGAATCACCCAGAAGGTCCAATATTTTGCCTTACAATGAATAAAAATTATCAACCATGCTGAGGCATTAAACCACAAGCTAGTGATACTGAGGACAGAATCAATCTTATCCTCAAGTATCACCCTCATAATATTGAACTACAACTTATTGTCCTGAAAATTATGATATACTTCTAGCTGACCCTGATGTATACAAGAATTTCTCGTCACACCCCCCCCCCTCCCCCCCCCCACTCTCATCGTATTTAGACAATAGAAATTTACGTGACCTTCTGAGTCATAGCCACCTCCGAATCAACCCTTTTTTGATGGCATAATAAGGCACTGAATTTTTTGATGGCATAATAAGGCACCCCCCCTCCCCCCCCCCCACTCTCATCGTATTTAGACAATAGAAATTTACGTGACCTTCTGAGTCATAGCCACCTCCGAATCAACCCCTCCCATTTTGGAACTAGGCCATGTGGTCGTAGCCACTGTAATTATTTATTTATTTCAAATCTTTTGTCTTGCCTGCTAATCTGATATGCAAAATTCTTTGATTTCATAGGTCACTTTCATAACTGAATATGTCTACTATTTTCTGTCTATATCTATACAGTAAGCTAAGAGTGTGTTTGTCTCTGTCTTTTAACTATTTTTGCTGTCGAAGGTTATTTGGCCAAAACAACCACTTTAATTTATTGTCCAATAGGGTCACTTCTACCCTTTGTATATTTCTTAATGTTTCAATCTGAAAGCAGTCCTCTCCATATTACCCTATAAATAGCTGTTTTACAAGGCCGACAAGTCCATTCAACCCATCCACTGACAAATCCATTCAATCTATGGAGTAGCCTAAAACACAAATTTCTGGGTTATCAGTAAATATATTTCACTATAACACTGAGTATTATAATTATAGTAAACACCTTCTTATAAATGGCTGTGATCAGGACAGACTTAACCACCATTCCCAGCTTGTAGCTCGTCCACATTGAGAAATTGAAGACAGCAATGCGGAACTGTCCTACTATCAACATGAGGACACACACACAGTAGCCCTGCCACTCCACACCAGGGGATCTTGCCTCCATGTAGGACAGTAACAATCTTTGAATTATGACAAGTAAACACAATCACTTGACAATGATGTTATACAATTCAAACGGAAGGTGTTAATTTGTTTAAATTCACCTTTGAAGTATTAAACATTTACCCTTGTTCAAATAATGGTAATTAATCTTACACTTAATTGTAATGTAATAAATGATTAATATAAATACCTAGCATCTGTCATGTTTTATTTCATTTTAAACAAAAAGAGTTAACATGTTGACATTTATTTTGTCATTATTTGTCAGAATTTTTTTTTTATCAGAAAAAGGTCTGTTTTTAGAATTTAATTTTTTTAAATGATATATGACATTATATGACATTACTGATCCAAGAATCCCAAATGATCAAGCTAAAATGAAATGTTTTTTTTTTTTTAAACTTAAATTTTCTAAAGATAACACTGAAACTGATACTCAATTCAGATAATAAAAATTGTCTGTTTCTTACATTAGCAATAATGGTCCACAAACAACAGCCATGTCCGAGATGATTTTCGTCCAGGTGAACTGGAAGACCATGAACCTGTACTGTTTCCAAAGTACACGGAATAGAGATGGCTCCGGCAGCTTAGCCTTATCATTCTGAGTCTGTGTCTTGTCTAGGAAGTGTGTGTAAACAGTCTTTGGGCTCTATGTAAAAAAATACCATATTGCATAACTAACTTTCTTGAACAAAGATTTAATGGAAGGTTGTAACTCTAAGGAGATTGTAATATTTTTAAATATTTAAAATGCAATATTAAACAAAACAAGAATAATAAAAATGAAGCATTTAAAATATACCATATCCTTAAAAAACGAAATATTTAGAGATAATGTCACTATTAGATATGTGACTATGGGATATTACTTAAAATGTATGGCCTACCTCAGTTACACTTTTCAATCTTGTTGTCTCACTGAAGAAATGAGGCGAACCCCTCCTTCCTGATTTACGACTGCTACTGCTGTAGGCTATTTGATATTCTTGACGAGCATGTTGTCTGTGATTTAAATAACAAAATTATGAAATAATAACTTAAAGTATTAAATAGTTCAGGTTGAAGCAATAAGAAGTATACAAAGGGTAGAGGAAAACCTGAAGAAGGACAAGAACAGAGAGTCAAAGATACTGCAAAAAAGCCTTTGACTGCAACAACAGTTGAAGACAGGCACAAACACTCTTAGCTTATTGTAAGGTTATGTAGTCTACAGGAAATGGTAGACATATTCAACTGCGGATGCAACCCATGAAATCAAAGAAATCAACCATAGACACAATCCATTTGTAAAGTTACAGAAGAACTACTTAAAATGTCCAGCTCAATTTTTAGTAAACACATTTCTTCCTGACTTCTGAAAGCTATGGCATGACAAACAATTTTTTAAAATATAACATATCTTAATAAGATATTCCCAAAGTTCTTGTAGGAAAAAGAGCAATACGGAAGGCTCAAGAAAACCACCAGCCAAGGTTCTTCTTCAAGTAGTGCAGAGAAGACTGTCACTCCAGGATTGGCCTCGTAAGCCACTCAAGAAATCGCAAATAATACAGAAGCCATACCATTGTCTCACGAAGAGAAAAAGGATGCAAATAATAAAACTTTTTCTTAAGATTTATTAAAATTATATTAATATCACCATTATAAAACTTCAATTCTACTTTGGGTCAGTTAATTTTCTAAACTTGTTTATACCTATCACTCCAACAGAGGTAACAAAATCTCAGATGCAGATTTGTTTGGCCCATAAAAACTATATTTAAAAGAAATAACACTGAGGGATATTTGATGGACATTCACCTGCATCGCTGGCACCTATCTTCTTCTTGCTTCCAAAGCTTCTCAAACTTTGGGATGTGGTTGTCACATTCCATATCAGCAGGAAGTGACCACATGTCAGACTCTTCAATGTCTCTCTTATAACCCAAGCGGATTAATCTGGAATAACCAACAATGTAAATGTCATAAATAGATAAGGCATCATCACACTGATGCTTAACTAAGCATAACAAATATCAGCTCATAACAGAACAATGAGTTTATGTTAAACTTAACATAATAGCAAGCTCATGACAGATGAAGTAAAGGAAGCCTATTCATGTTTTTATACTTTATATTCCAAGGTAAATCAATATGACATTTTCATTTCAAAAACATTGAACTGCATTAGAATCTAACATTTAAATTTACTGCTTATACATTGGGTAACTATCAAAATAATATAGTATTTGTTGCAAAGTAAGGTGCGTCCGTTTAGTCCCACTTTGAACTGCCGCAAAAGTTTCCACATGTTAACTTATATCTACACACCCCAGTAGTAGCAGCAGGTAGGGCTTATCACTTTTATTGATGTCACACAATGACATAACTTGGGAAACTTTCTACATTTAAGACTAGTTTTTCTCAACCATTAAAGTGTTGGCAACTGAATACAACTTTGGCCGCCAGTATATGTCATAGGACATCCCATCTCTAGCACAATGTCCCATCTCTAGCCCAATGCCCCATCTCTAGCACAATGCCCCATCTCTAGCACAATGCCCCATCTCTAGCACAATGCCCCATCTCTAGCACAATGCCCCATCTCTAGCACAATGCCCCATCTCTAGCACAATGCCCCATCTCTAGCACAATGCCCCATCTCTAGCACAATGCCAAGGCCTGTTCACTCAGAATTGTGTTTTATAAATAACCCAGACATTCATGAACAAACTTTGCCATGTTCAGCACATGGCATTACAGAATTCTTGGATAAGTTAGAAAAGAGGAAGTTATTCATTTTTTAAAGTCAATCTTCTTTAAGACTTGTCTTTGGCTCTTTGACGTTGCAGTTAAAAAGATTTGGCTTGGCTGAAAAATGTAGTAACATTTAGCCAGTTGATGTAGCACTCTATGACAAGCTGTTGGATAAACTAAAATCAGAAAAGTTATGATAAATGTAATTTTTATTTGCGGGGCAATGTTTAGACAGTCTACATGGCACATATGAAAGTGAGTTGCATCGAGTCACCATTCTATGTATCTTTTTTATGCTTTACTTACATACTTACTTAAACATCCAACAAAAGAATATTTCTGACAGTGCTGATGCCCTTTGGACTGGACATTCTGGCTGGAATTAAACAATTTACAATGAAAACAGATCAGTGCACTAATTAACTTCAATCAAAGTTCAAAATAAATTTCAATAAACAGCTTATAACCAACATTTAAAAACCTTATTTTTAAAAAAAAAAACACTGTTTAAAAAAAATATTTGGCAAGACTATTGTGTATTACTTTCAAGTTAAATTCTGTTATCTTAAACAGAAAACAACAACAACAAAAACCTTAACGGCAAAAGTTAACACACCTTGTCAATCAATGTGTAGTCTTTGTGAGCTGCATTTGTTTTATGGGATGGATGCTCCGACCAGCAGTTGAGAAAGAAACAAACCAAGGACAGTGAGAAGATGAGTTGAAAAATGACAAAACCAAGGAAGTCCTCAACATAGACCTAAGATAAAATTAATTATCAAACTGATTTCTCAGTCAACAAGTTTAACTCAAAAGCAGCATACAATAAAATATCTATTAAGAAATATGTTAACAGGACAGAGGAAAATGGAGAGAGATACTTAATGGTCAACCAATCACATAAAAAAATGAATGTAAAAAATGGCATGCCTTGATCTAATAGCAACATTAACAATATAGAACATAGGTCATTAACAACCATTACATTAATATAAAAAGATCTGTGCCTGAATCCTGAATTCAGTTATTTTATTGAATACCACAAAGGGGTGTTACAGAGTAACAAGGATCAACACACTATCAATAAAATACTACATCATAAAAAGGAAGAGAAGGTGAACTGGCCCGACACTCAGGAAAGGCAGAGAAAGACAGCAGGGGAGGGGCAAGTGGTTGTGAGAGGTTAAATAAAAAAGAAGAGATGATTTTAAGTACAAGGACCATCAAGGTTTTTTTATCTTTAAACGAATATGTACCATGGAATCACTGGCGTAGAAAGGAAGGGGGCGCGGAGGTGGCATTCTACCTCGGGCGGCCTTTTTTTCTTTTTATCGAGGGGCAGTTTTTCGGACACTTGCAATTTTTTTCATTGAAGGAGGGTGGCAAAATTCTTGGCCCCCCTGAGAGTGTAATGCTTACGGACTGGAACTACGACTTAAGGAAACACTGGTCTAGGGTAAAATCCAAATTTCTTACTTACTTCCACTATGATGTAGGTATATGAAGAGATGAGAAGGGAAATAGACATGAATAGCCAAAATGTCAGCTGGAGTATGGAAGCTGCGACACCATGAATTCTCTCATATTGGCCCAAGATGGCTATACAAACCTGTATGGAGATTATAAAATTAAATCATGATTTATTTTCTATCAACGATCATTGCATAGAAAACTATTCTGAATTTAGTCTTCTGTAATGACATCTGCGTTTCTCAGCATTAAGTTAAGTGTTGAGACATGTTACTTTCTAAAATATGGATAGAGATAAAATGATCCTACTATTTATTTGTAGCTTCAACATAAATAATTGTTCTCCAAAAATTATGATTACACAACAAAAAGGATCTTTTTATAAGAGGAATAGAGTCCTTGGCTGCAATATTTCTCCCAAAGACATCCTTCTACTCACAGATAAAGCCTCTAAGCTCCTGTTTCTCCTCAGACATTTTCAAAAAGTATAATTACATATCTTACTTTCACTTTTACTTACAAATGTTATTATCTTGATAATATCTCCAAGAAAAGATGCTAAGGAAATAAATTTTCCCTCAGAATGAAGACTTGCTTTCTGTAGCATAGTAATCAATGTCAAAATGGCCATTGTGATGTGACAAAACTAAAGAGAGCAAAATTGAAATAATTTTAAAATATTTGAAATAAAGTTGCTCAGAAATAGCTTTAATAAGCAATTCTTACTAAAATGTGCAATTCATTTCCTGGGAAATTTAACAATTAAATTAATTTAATACACGTAAATCTTTTTTAATACTGCCCTCATCTCAAAGCAGCATTTGAAATTTATTATTCTTTTCAATTTTTTAAATAATATTAATAATTTTTTCAGATTCCCATGTTGTTCCCATTATAAAAAAAGTCCAACTTATAACAATATTCACCCAGAACTCCTTTTTTTTAAAAATCTTTACTTTTTTTATTGCAATCATTTATGGGACTTAACTCTTTTTTTTTATAAATTTTTTTTTTTTTTTTTTTATTTTTTTTTTTTTTTTTATTTTTTTTTTTTTTTTTTTTTGGCTTTTTTAAATTGTGTTTCCTGAGCAATTTCAAAGTTGATAGTTATTGAACTGCCCATCAGATTATAAGGGAGAAAAAGTATTTAATTAAGAATTGTGTTCTATATTGTAATGCAGATCATTATAACATTACCACTTTTGATTATAAGTAGAGTCACTTAACTATTTTTTATATTTAATTTTCCTGAGAATGTTCAGTGATTAATCTTGCATGTTGATGATTTATCTTCTTATTTTTAACAAAAATTTTAAAAAATACACACATTAGCTTAAATGAAGCCAAAAATGCAATAAATACCAATTTTCCTGAGTTGAGTACACCAATGGGTAGTGACTTGTTAGGCCGACTGTTACGTAAGCCGGCAACATAGCAAGGGCCAAAAATAGTGAGGAGACCACAAGGAAACCAGACAAGGATAGTTTCTCGAAAACACTCTGTAAACTTTGGCCATGATGCTGTCATAAATTCAGAGTTGTTCTAAAGTTGAGGGATCAGAAGACACTGTATTAATTTGTGTTACCGTACATATCTTTCTTGTAGTCATATGATGATTTTATCATATTTTTTGCATCACTAAGATATACAAGTTTACATCCGTACAAGTGTTATAATAGTTATAAAGAAAATAAGAAAAAAGAAAATAGTCTCCTCAACTTCAAAAATAAGGCATATCATCATTTATTCAAGAATTACATTTTGGGACAAAAGAGTTCAAGAAATTCATCTCCAGTTAAATCCACTTTTTATCATTTTCGCAAACAAAAAAAGCTTCTTTTAAGTTGTATTGAGCTAAAACTTTCACAAAGACTACACCATATAGTATATCATATAGTAAGCTAGTTTTTTAATATTAGGAAATCATCATAATGTCATCATGAATCATGAAGAAATGTGAGTGTCTCTTTGACTTTGAGTGTTTACATTAACATGTAGTGTAGGTTATTCAATGGACTTTATGGATTTTGTGGATCTATAAATTGACTATTACTATGACTATGAAAGGAACCATTGATATTGAAACACTTTAAATTTAAAGCATTTCATTTTCATCGGTAGAATTTGTAACTTATTAAGTTATTTACTCATACTCATACTCATTAATTTAAGTTGAAACTTTGCAAAAATTTTAATAAAATTTTTATGAGAATTTCATGAGGTCTAGACATTTATAATTTATAAATTGTATTCATATTTCAAGCTAGATAAGGCATATTCAATCTCAATCATAATAATCACATTAAATAATAGTAGTGACTATTAATTTTTAATGATACCGACAATAAAAGTGTGACATTTTAACAACTATCTCAGACTAGTCAGACTCATCAATTTTCAAGATTCAATAATTAAAATTATGATTATCAAATCACATTCACTTTGCTATTATATGTTATATGAAATGTCAAATATCAAGATACGTAGAGAAAAAATGTTCTACCCAAATTGGTCCACCGCAGAAATCATCAGGAGACATCGTTTGGATTTCTGTTACAATTCGGCAATTCAAATTTGATGAAGCATTCTTCTCACTCAACTAATCCACCACTGCTGCTTTTGATTATTAAAAATAAGGAATGATGAAACAAGAAATAATATTTATCTTTCACAAAACATAATAAATATCTAAATTTGCTTTTTTTACATTTATGATTTAAGTCGTAGTCATGAAATAGTCCACATTAATATGCAGAAGCAGATTCGGTTACGCTTTAAATATTAAATTATCTGCCATGACAAAAGCCGGTGTTTACCTGAACTCAGAATTACGCTACAGACTCAGCAGACCAATCAAGATCACTTGTTATCTTATATCAACACACTATGGCCAGCCTATGACTTTTGCCTTTCGTCATTTTTTTTTTTAAACAATTTTTGTAAAGTTTATTAGAAATAGATTCAAAGAATTTATTAAACATGACAATTGTGTATATTTAATATCAAATGGGCTATTATTGTTGTTTTTTTTAGTTTTTATTTAATTTAGATTTTTTTTTAAATTCGATATCTTCATGAATCATCATCAATGTATAATGTATGACCGCAAAAAGTTGACATTTCGACTTTAAGAAAGAATATTGTTTAATTTATTACAATTTTAAAATTGACCCACATTTAAATAGTTCAAAAACTTTTATACAAAATTTTGATAAAATCATTTAATATTATAAATTGGAATTATTAGACATTATATGTTTTGAACAACACGGCTTATTAATCAAAGCACTCAATTTCGCGTGTGATCCTGAATATGTGAATGGCTAACAACTTAGCGCAACGACGTCAAACGATTTGAATAAATTCAAGTACATTCAAGTCTTTCGCGAACTTGTTACCTCAACCAAAATTTCAGGTCTTGAGAAGCCCCGAAAGCCAAAAATGAACTCGTTTTAAATATTGCTGAAATTACAGAGGAAAAAACAAAATACAGATGTAACTCGCGCGAAAAGCAAAATTGAGCGTTCAATTCGTTTTCATTTGTTGGAGATAGCTTACTTGTGAAGGGGTATGAGGGTTGAATAAATATTTATCCCCCCCCCCACCCCCAGCCAAAACGGTTGATGCAACAAATTGACTGAAAGACGCGCTTTCCTGAAGGGAAAATAAAAACTTCATTAGTGTAAAACATACAGTATACTGTATCTAAGTGTACATTATATAGTATACTTTATGTTAGCGTACATTATATAGTATACTGTATGTTTGTGTACATTATATAGTATTCTGTATGTTTGTGTACATTATATAGTTTACTGTATGTTAGTGTACAATATATAGTATTCTGTATGTTAGTGTACAATATATAGTATACTGTATGTTAGTGTACAATATACAGTATACTGTATGTTAGTGTACAATATACATTATACTGTATGTTAGTGTACATTATACAGTATACTGTATGTTTGTGTACATTATATATTATATTGTATTTTTTGTACATTATATTGTATACTGTATGTTAGTGTACATTATATAGTATACTGGCTGTTTGTGTACATTATATAGTATACTGTATATTTGTGTACATTATATAGTATACTGTATGTGATGGACGTAATAGGAAACACTAAGTTGTCTTAATCAGGAATCGCAGGTGAAATATTTGTGAACAGTAAAGTAGAAACGTACTAGAAGTGTTTTGTAAGTAATTCATTAATACTTTCTTAGCCTGAGCTTTAACATGTCACTTTTTCAATGTTCATAAAAGGAAAAACAGCTTGTCAGTGAGTAACTAACTACTACAATTTAACATGTTGGTCAAACATTTTTTTTTAAAAATAATAAAACTGACATATGTCAGAAGTATGAAGCATTAACTGTTGTCCACATGTTGCTTTAATCAGCGAAAACTCTTACAGTAGTAGCATTTGTCCCCGTCTAGGAAAAGTACGCTGAACCTCGGGAAACGCCACATGCCTGGACCTTTCCTGACCTTTCGGAGACGTCGGAACGGGTGATGCTAAAATAGGGACCGTAGTAAAAACAATATAAAATAAAAATAATCAGTAAGCTGTAACGTACTATGGCAAAGTGTCTAAGAATGTATGAACCAGGTGAGGTGTAAGTACTCAATATAAAATGAAACTATACAAGGCGGCTGTGCGTTCTACGCTTCCCTTTGCCTGTGGACGGTCTGTCAACGCCGTACAAGAATGTTGAGCCACTTTCATACGAAAAGTCTCGGGGACAATCCTCAACATCAAATGGCAGTACATGGTCCCAGACACCAATGGTGTCCCCAGCATCCGTGCCATATTAATGCAGTTCCAGCTTCGCTGGGTGGGACATGTTGTGCGAATGTCAGACGACCGCTTGCCCAAAAGAATATTCGATGTTGAGCTCGAGCATGGATGGCAGTTTTCTGGTTGGCAGAAAAAAGGCTTTAAGGACAACCTAAAAACCTCACTGAAAGCGTTTGATATAAACCTGGATACATTGGAAGAGTTGGCAAAGGTTCGAGCATCGTGGGGTTCCTCTTTACACAAATTCTCCATACAACATGAAGCCAATGAACATCGGCTGCAGAGCACAAAAGACATACCAGAAACGCCCGGGTTAACTATGCACCTGCCGATCTCCCACCAGTCACCTTCAGTTACTGCACAGTTACATTTCGTGCCAAAATCGGTCTTATCCACCATCTGCGCACCCACAGCCAAGTTCACAATTATCAAACATACGATGATTAAGTTCGTCATGGTCGAATTTCGAGTGACAGCTATATTATGCCCTGCTCTCACCCCCCCCCCCCCACACACACACACACTTCAATTCGTTTGCTCAGTTTCACTACACCGTGTTTATATAACAGCTGAGAAATAATTAAGAATTATTTAAATGAGTTTAAAACAAATTAATTCGTCGTTATTTCTTAAGAACCTTACCAAACTCCGTCAACAAAAGGGCAAATGCTTATATCCTATATATTATATTGTCAAAGTTTAAAATAAATGTCACATATTTTAAAACCGCTTTCACCCTGTCAGTTGCGAAGGAAGGGGTGTGGAGGAGGGGGTCCGCCCTGGGTGGCACTTTTTTCTTTGTATGGAGTTCGGCCAACTCAGGCCAAAAGCTAATTTTTTTTGCTTGGAACGAGTGGATGGGGGGCATCACCCACTAGATTAGAGTATTCGTACGTCGTGGTGGGGGGCGCTAACCCTAGCTACGCCCCTGCAAGCTGATATTTATTTCAAATTAACCCAAATTTAATATAATTGAAATAAATATGATGAGGGCTAAATTAAAATTTATAATTATCATTCCTAATTTAATGAGCTAATGTAGGCCTTCTGCTACCAGTGTCGGGAACAACACGGTAAAAAGCAGACGACATAGCCACGCCCCCTTCATTTCTAGGATTCTTCATTCATCGTTAACTACGCTGTCTACACGGTCTCACAATCTGTGCCCTACATTTCAAGCGAAGAATGCTATAGTAAGGTGTAGAGTGTTTTGTTTTATATAAATTTATGGAATTTAAACCACTTGCTTTTCATTTAGAGTCACTGAAACTGTAGTTATAACATGATTTGTGTTAATGAAAGTGGTTCGTTAAAAAGTTAGTAAAAACCCGTCAACATAACAACTTTTTTAACCAATCGTGTAATCATAACGCCGTGTGGATACCTCATTTCCGTCAATAGTCAACATGGCAGAAGCCAATTCTAGCAATAGCAAAATTGGAATATTGGCGAAAGCTCAGAAGCAACTTTCTAGGACGAAAACAAAGGTGAGCTTTAATAAATAATTGGTGATTAAATTGTCTAAACGTCTGTGACTGTGTGTATTATTAGAGATTTTTAGTCAAATTTGCAGACAATGATTTGATTGTAAATTAATAAAATAACTTCTTCATACTTTTACTATTAATATCGTGTAATATTTTTTCCGAGGTCCGATGATTCAGCCTTCTTTTAAGGTCCTATGATTTATTATGATATGAATATGATGATTTGTTTCTGTTACCACTGATGCAGTATATTTTATCCGGCCCTTACGCCTTACTTAGACTTAGTGCCTTATCTTAGTCTGACTTTTAGTTTTTAATTTTTAGTAGTAAAAGTTTTACTTATGACTTTTAAAGGGGCCTAGGCCTACTATACTAATTTGTCATTTATTATGAGAATTATGGCATGAGTATGAGTCACTGGATTTTTTCATACTGTGACTTACTCCTTTTCACATTTTAGTTACCTCACTCATCACTTTACAATAGTTAAGGCAGTATGTTATCAGTTATTGCAAGAATATTGCTAACTAATGAACAATGGATACTTTTTAAAGTTAACTTATATATGTTTAACCACTTGTTGAATTGTCTGCCAGTGTCTCACAATTAATAGGGGAATACATATATTTTGGGCTAGGGCTTAGACTTAGACCTTTGTTGACTATTGTCTATTGTAGTATTTAATCTAAAATGCATTATACAACATTGGCACTCACAGTGAAATTGATATTTAATTTTCCTTAGGGCAGCATGCCTGAGCATGGAGAACTCTTCTTTCTTTTACTTTTAGTAGTTTTAGCTCTTCCCCAATGGTTGTGGGACAACCTCATCCTTTCCTTAATGAAGTTATTGAGTGCTGACTCGGACGTGGGGAAAAAAAAGGCAGGAAACACTACTTTAGAGTCTAGTCTAGACTAGTTTGTTGCAAATTACCTAATTTGGTCTTTTGACTTTGAGTGAAAATGTACTAGAAGTAGGGGAGTGTAAGTAAGTTAATACATAATACTTAAATTAATAAAATAGGAGTTGCATTTTTAGTAGTAATATTAATATTAATAGCCTTAATAGGCTTACTAACTATAGTCTATTGTTATAAGCGTATCAATATACTTCATTATAAATGGAGCAAGAGTAAGTTACTGCAGCATCTCAGATACTTGACTGTGAATTTTTATGTCTTAGAGTAAGTATTTTCAATGGAAATATATTCACTGTCAGTGAGCTATCTATTTTATCTGGTCACTTGACCAAGTC